CGTTCTATTTGGAGTATGAAATGCAACGATAACGTATAAGAAAATTTGAACCGTTTCTAATCCGGGAATTTTCGTGTCGGTTTAGGTGAGAATATCAAGCCTTTCTGCACGAAACCGAAACACGGATACTGCGACCCTCTCTTCCGACACGCCGACGACATACACGAGAAATGCGCGCCGGTCTTTTATAGCAATCAAAACCCACAAACGGATTGCAGTTACTCTTCTAGATGTCGTAAGTTTTCCCACTTAATTTATGGTTCGTCAACTGGAGACTTCGGAAATATCGTCTCGTTTTTACAAAATCTTTCTATTCTTGCAGACAGTGAGAATGACACTATCGTTCACAATCACGATGGCAAATCTGTATCCGAGACAGGTATGTTTCTTACCGATTAATTAACGCGATTAGCAAACGAAGCATTGGTTCGAAAAGTCCGAGGTTCCTTTTAGATCGATCATTTTCGTCGAATTGCTTAGCTTGTATCAAAGCTAAGATCTTTCACCATTTGCGTACATATTTGTTTCTGTCCGTTGTGCAAAGTTCTACGGTGAAGTTCTAAAGACGAATCGTTAATGTTACATCAGGTTATGCCAGAAATTCGAACTACAGTAAATTCTCTCTAATAGCTCTTGTTAGAGGCTTGCTTACATTGTCTCTGTACTATCTATACGCCTATGCTAAGGCTCTGTCAAGCGCATGATGCGGCACGCGACGCGGCTCCTCTGACTGAGAAATTCTCAGAATTACAACTCGTAGTACGACACAATTTTTTTAGTTTTAACATTTTTCAGCTGAATTTCTTTTTCAACATATTGCCGATAGTTTTCTGATTAAAATGAAACCGAACATGATATTAGTTTGGGCAGATATTTTTGATTACAATCACGTTGTAATTTAACAAATATAGTTTAAAAAATATCGTATTTGGTCTCATTTTAATTGGAAGAATCTGACCGATATGTTTATCAAATTTTCACGTATAAAAAATTAGAAATGAAAAAGTTAAAGCATCGTTTTCATTCTAGCAGTATTCCCTCTCCATCTCTCCCTCTCCCCTTCTTCCCCCCTCCCCTTTTTCCCCCCTCCCCTTCTTCCTCCCTCCCCTTCTTTCTCTCACGAAATATCAGTTATAGCTAAGTTGTCCATTTTTTGATTCCAAGCTATTAGGGAGAATTAGGGACTATTAGGGAGAATTTAACGTTAGCAAATTCGAATCTACTACTTACAAGCTCTGAGATGAAACTGTTTTGGACTTTCGAACATATTCTAATCTGTGGTCTTGATTCTTATGGTGATCCCATTACGGGAGATATCACGGTGGATCGTGTCGAGATTGACCGCGTACTCAAATAGGAACAAATATCAGCCGCGTTCTGTTTTCTTGCGCTTACAGATAAGAGTAAAATGTGCGTATTTGGCAACATGACGATGCACATTGGCGACGTATTGAACGAAGGAGACACTTACAGCTCGATCTGCGTAAAATGCACATGCGAGGTTCCACCGTTCCCAACGTGCGTGCAACAGATCGACTGCGATTACTCGAGGGTCAAACAACCCTAATCCCAGCCGATACTTAATACCCCAAGACCCCATCGATTGCGAACTGCCGATAGCAGTTGACGATGACTTTTGGAGGAGCAACACATCTTCGGAAAACGACAAAGAATACTTGTGATTTAATCAGTTGTACTTTAGTTTAGTCAACGAAATACATAGTTAGCAATGTTGTAGATAGGTATACTTTTCAAATATTTTCAGATATACTTAAGATGTTTAATAAATCTTTTTTTTTGCGCATCGGACTGTACATCTTCTTCGACCTGCCACATGAAGTGTTCGTTGGCGTTTGATAACGGCGAGTCGCCAATCGATGGAATGCAGAGGACTCGAGAGTACAAGGAAAAGAACATATTTAACATATACAGGATGTCACATGTAACTGGTGGTACAATTGGAACGGGAGCTGATTCTACGTTACAAATAAGTTGCAAAAAAAAGAGTAAACTTTCTTTTCATTTAAGGCTCCGTTATCGAGAGAAACTGGGTTGAAAAACTAATACTATTTAATAGGAATCAAGTGGCACGTCTGGTCATAACGTACCAAATCTACTTGCCGCATCTTCAACTCGGTTTTCTCGAAAACGAAGCCTTAAATGAACAAATGTTACTCTTTCCTCTGGACTTATTTTTGCATGTGCAATCACTATCCGGCCGATTGTACCGCAATTTTTCGTGTACTGCAGTTTTGTGTGATTTTTGACGCGATGAATATTATTTTTATGACGTTTTTAACGTCGTTTTTTTATGTAAACGGTTGACTAGCGATCCATGGTTCTTTTGAGACTATTGTTTCTCCTGACGAGTGCAATATTATTCAACGAACAAAATTTGATCTTGATTTTCAAGATCGATTTTGCACGAAGTATCTTTCATCGGTCCATCGGTTCCATCGGTCCAGACGTGGAGAATTTCGCTACGGTGCTCGTGGCGAGATAAATAAACAACGAAATAAGGTACTTTACATATTTATCTCGACATGGCGTGGCAGAAAGTTTTCGATTTAGTGAAAATTCCTTCAGCACGCTCAAACAGAAATGTCAAGGGTATCGAAACCCACGTCCAAAATGATATTCACTACTTTATTCGCCTACGTCTCTTAATTTACATATACACCGACAAGTTGAAATTACAATCGAAATCGTGGCAAGAAATAATTGGCAACATCTGGCTGCTATCGCTGGCACAATTTTTACTCGCCGAATATTCAAACGAGTTTCGTAAGAAAAGATTCTCTGAAGATCGGTGGTAAACGATGCTCACTCTCGACGATCGATACAATTGTACAGGGTATTTCCGTGTTAAATCGCCGAACTTTATATATATCACTGTTTTCGGTTAATAAATCGTAAACAAAGCCGCGGAATGCATTATTCGCTAAGGAAAAAATTACTTCGAATGACCTCAGGAAGTACAACATTTCCCGGAAGTGCAATAATTTTGGGGCACCCTGTATACTAATGAAACAACTTACAGATCCGACTGAAGCTTTAAACGCAGTTTGCAAGGCTAGGATACAGTTTCTCGACAATTGCAACACGTGATCAACAATCAGTTTATTAAAGTGTTTATCGACTTTTAGCACAACGCCATATGGCGTCGTCGTTGCGAGACTTACCCTCTAATTATAAAATAAAATAAAATAAAATGATATTTTTTAAACGTCGACGCGGTTGACGTATCGACGAAAAGAAAATTTAATTTTCTTTTCATAAGATTGACGTTATTTTTATTATAATGTAACACATATATGGATACATATATGTACTTGTTATAGTTTCATACAATTCACTTTGAAATAAATTAAGGACATTACAACAATTTTCTACCGGTTTCTCAAATTTATTTAATTTTCTGTCAGTGTCCTAATACTTTTGGAGGGGAGTGTATGCTTATTAACACTTTACAGGCCGCGCGGTTTTATTTGTTTATTTTAACTGCTATTTTACAAATAAACAAAATTCTAATTAAATTATAGTTTATGGATCAGTCGCTATAACATAGTTAACTATAGTGTTTATAGTTAACTATGAATCGCCTGCCCCCACTCCTTGCGTAGCGATTTTTCCTGAACACACTGCGCACGATACGTCAACGGCCGTTTACGTTATTTTCTACCATTTCACAACTATCCTACCAGCGGCCGGTAAAGTGTTAATATATTTACATTATCGAACACGCATCGTAAATTAACACGGTCGCTTATCTTAAAAAAGGAAGGTCGGTAAACCATGTAACTAATTCATTTTTCAATATCGGAGTGTACGATTACGGTTACAATAAATACATGTATATTCGTACGACAAAATAACATTTTTCTAGAAAGTTACGTTTCTTCTCATTGAAAGACTAGAATGTATTCCGATTTTTATCTGTACATTTCCTTAACGCCCAAGCAATGATACATTTTCGTTGGTAATACTTGATTACACATTCTTATCCTAAAAACCGAGGAAACAATGAAACCGTTTACTTCAGACCGCCTTGTTTAGCTTCCTTTGTATTTCCAGGAAAGTTTTGCCTTTCGTTTCCGGTGTAATACGGTAAATAACTGCAGTGCAGACCGCCACGACTACGAAGTATCCTAAAAACGGTATCGAATGGCCGTAGCCCAACGTTATAGCTATCCATATGTAAAGCTTGAACCCTATAATACCTTGCAAACCACCGAGCACGCCGATAAGGCATGTGCTGATCGCTTTAACCTCGGTGGCGAAAACTTCCGACATCAAAATGATCTGCAGGCAAAACAAGCCGCAGGTGAACATAAAAACTGTTATTATAGAAGCTATGAACGGCGCCAACGAGTACATCTCCACGTCTATGCTCGTGTAATCCTTCATGTAGAAGAAAACGCCGATTATAAGATTGCACAAAGCAGCCACGACACCCGACGCAAGTATCAACGGTTTACGTCCAAGCTTGTCGACCAGGAAGGTTGTGAAAATCGCGGACATCACCTGCGCGACGCCAATGATCACGCCGACGGTGTAGTCGCTGATAACGTTACTAGTCGATTTGAAGATCAGCTGGCAGTACGTGATGATAATGAAAAACCCGCCAAAATTATGCGTCACCGTGAACAGAAAAATGATGAGGAAAGCACGAAAATTTCCCCGCGACGCGAAAACGTCCGTTATGGTTCCGCTCTTTACGATGTCCTTTCCTTCTTTCGACAGGCAGTCGGTGATCACCTGCAGCTCCTCGGACACGTCGGTTTTACCGCGCAATTTTTCTAACACCGCTTCCGCTTCGTCGGTTCTGTTCTTCAGTACCAGAAAGTACGGCGACTCAGGCATAAACCAGAACGCGAATACACAAGCGGCGTTCACGACGAAAAATATTCGAGCCATGAGGGATAACGAAAGATACGGCGCGACTACAAACGTTACGAGGATACCGCTGTTGTATACGATCCCAACTAGAGAGTTTGCAGCACCTCGGATATTCGATGACGATACTTCGCCCATGTACATCGGCGCGACGCAGATGAATAATCCTAATCCAATTCCTGCTAGAAATCTTGCCACGTATAATTCCTACGGGAGAACAAAGTTATAAGCTCGACGTGTTAGTAGCGGACAAAACACAACATAACAAGATAAGAGAGTCTTCGAAGTGCAAATAGTAGGATATATGTATAGTGGAGCCGGTTACTGTGGGCCGACCAATTGCTATTACTTTCATTTTGATTTCGGGCATGATTAACTTTGTATTTATCGAATAAGACATATTAAATTGTTTTTAGCAAAATGTAAACAAAATGAAGGAATAAGAAAGGTTGAGCATGCTTTATTCGATAAGTATGAAGTAAATGATGTGCGAAAATAGAAGGCACAGCGATCGAGCCTACAGTTACGGCTTCAAATTGAGCCGTTTATTTTGAAAGTGGCATAAGTCACTTCACCGTAATGAAAAGTGGTGATTTTTTAATGTTTATACGAAATTATTTATACCGAGAAAAATATCTCAGTATCCTGAGATAACAAATACAAGTAAATCTTCTCGAAAGTTAGCATCCATATTTTTAAACGTGTTAAAACGCAAACTCTTAAACATATCGACTTAAAAACAAAGTGATTTATGCCACTTTCAAAATAAACGGCTCAATTGTGCATGCAAAATAGAGACGTAAAACGAATCGTGCAAAATAGAGATACAAAACGACATGGATCATAAATAAATAATAATTTTTGAAATGTCAAACTGCTTGAAACATATTATTAGGCAATATAGGCATCAAACTAGTAATACAAATTTTAAACAATTCATTTTTATAAATTTTTAACTTAATTTTATAAGGCGTTCGGATACTTGTGTGCCAAGAAAGAGTATTACAGGCTAAGACATAAGAGAAAGTTGTAAAATAGCTTAGAAATGTAGAAAAGAATTAAGAAGAATGTACAATAGAAATTAATTGAAAAAGAAATTGAAATAGAAATTAGGACAGGATGGCTTAAAAATGTGTGGAAGTATGAGTGGTTACGCAAGGAGAAATGGTATGAAGATAAGTTAAAGATTGTTTAGTAATGTATGACCGAAATTAAATAAATATATATATATATATTAAAATAACAATTAAATTCGTAAAGTGTTTTTTTCGCTAGAGAGATCGTCGTAAACTAATGTCTGCCGTCCATAGAAGCAAAGTTAAAAACAACTGTGTCTTGATTTTTCGCAGTTCTATGTTTGAAATTGAGAAAGTGATTTCGAATAGATTTCGAGACGAGACAAACTGAACAAAAATAAGTAACAGTGACACGATGCGTGTGTTATTGAAATTAAAATTCGTTCCCGTTAACTCTTATCATATCGAATGAAGATACATCGCTGTCTCCTAACGTAATTTTAAGCTTAGGCACTAATAGGGTTAAATACCGTTCAAATAGTCTAATCTACAGAATTGGAGCACGTAAAATTGTACGGTTAGAGCAGATGAAATGAGCCGTTTATTTTGAAAGTGGCATAAGTCACTTTACCGTAATGTGAAAAGTGGTGATTTTTTAATGTTTATACGAAATTATTTATACCGAGAAAAATATCTCAGTATCCTGAGATAACAAATACAAGTAAATCTTCTCGAAAGTTAGCATCCATATTTTTAAACGTGTTAAAACGCAAACTCTTAAACATATCGACTTAAAAACAAAGTGATTTATGCCACTTTCAAAATAAACGGCTCAATTGTGCATGCAAAATAGAGACGTAAAACGAATCGTGCAAAATAGAGATACAAAACGACATGGATCATAAATAAATAATAATTTTTGAAATGTCAAACTGCTTGAAACATATTATTAGGCAATATAGGCATCAAACTAGTAATACAAATTTTAAACAATTCATTTTTATAAATTTTTAACTTAATTTTATAAGGCGTTCGGATACTTGTGTGCCAAGAAAGAGTATTACAGGCTAAGACATAAGAGAAAGTTGTAAAATAGCTTAGAAATGTAGAAAAGAATTAAGAAGAATGTACAATAGAAATTAATTGAAAAAGAAATTGAAATAGAAATTAGGACAGGATGGCTTAAAAATGTGTGGAAGTATGAGTGGTTACGCAAGGAGAAATGGTATGAAGATAAGTTAAAGATTGTTTAGTAATGTATGACCGAAATTAAATAAATATATATATATATATTAAAATAACAATTAAATTCGTAAAGTGTTTTTTTCGCTAGAGAGATCGTCGTAAACTAATGTCTGCCGTCCATAGAAGCAAAGTTAAAAACAACTGTGTCTTGATTTTTCGCAGTTCTATGTTTGAAATTGAGAAAGTGATTTCGAATAGATTTCGAGACGAGACAAACTGAACAAAAATAAGTAACAGTGACACGATGCGTGTGTTATTGAAATTAAAATTCGTTCCCGTTAACTCTTATCATATCGAATGAAGATACATCGCTGTCTCCTAACGTAATTTTAAGCTTAGGCACTAATAGGGTTAAATACCGTTCAAATAGTCTAATCTACAGAATTGGAGCACGTAAAATTGTACGGTTAGAGCAGATGAAATGAGCCGTTTATTTTGAAAGTGGCATAAGTCACTTTACCGTAATGTGAAAAGTGGTGATTTTTTAATGTTTATACGAAATTATTTATACTGAGAAAAATATCAGTATCCTGAGATAACAAATACAAGTAAATCTTTTCTCGAAAGTTAGCATCCATATTTTTAAACGTGTTAAAACGCAAACCCTTAAATATATCGGCTTAAAAACAAAGTGACTTATGCCACTTTCAAAATAAACGGCTCAAATGTTACGAGCGATCTTTTCAATTTGGTTTTCGAGAAATGTATGGAAAATATCTAGTTTAATTCTTAACACGTTCAAACCACCGTCATTTATATCGTAATCAGATAATAATAGATAAATTAATTTTATTACACTTTTACACTTTATTACACAATTTTATTACATTATTGTGTTTTAAAGACTCGATGTATAGCTCAATTTCGTTTTGCTAAATTATTTTAATATCACGTAGTAGTGATGTTTACCAGGTGGTGGTAATGAACGTATTAATGTCTGCAAAATATATCCCAGGATTGTGATTTGTAAAGATCTCTTCAAGATACGTTGGCATTTTGCAAAAATAACTGCTATCCTAAACGTAAGGGTAGTAATAAAGCTTCGACGTGGAGAATAAGTGAATGATCTTTTAGAGACAGATTATTTTGAAAGTGGCATAAGTCACTTT